GAGTATTTTCTCACAGGATAGAAATCTGTTGTGGATAGAAACAAGAAAAATGTGTCAGTGTTACATATGCTAAAAGACAGTGCTGTGAGTCTAGCCTAGTTGTCTGCCTTTAAATCCTGGGCTTTCTCTTGCAGTGAGGGTAGTAGAAACATCTTGAGTTCTAAACAAGCTCTTGAAAAAGACCTTTGATAAAACTGAGTTATGAGAAGCCAGAATGGAGCTGCAGCCCAGTTATCATTGCTTATCTTTAATATAACTCTTAAAGAAAGCTATGAAAGCATATGGTTTACACTGTCTCATTATTCTAGCCAAAAAAATATATTTGAAAGGGTGAGATTCAGAAGTAGAAATACCTTCTAAGATTTTTTTTTTATTTTAAAGAGAAAAAATAACAAAGTAACAACAATGAATACAAAAATAAAACAATAAGGGCTGAGGATTTAGCTCAGCAGCACAGCGCCTGCCTGGCAAGCGTGACGTTGTGAGTTCAATTCCCGGTACCGGAAAAAAACCAAAAAAACCAAAACAAAACAATAAAAAGAATGCAGGATTCCAGAACAAGATGATAGGAATTAACAGTGGTTGTTATATTATATATTGTTATCTTCAAAGAAGATGCTCAGATTGCCCGATGTAAGAATGCAAGATTGATCAAACAATTAAGACAATAGAAATGAATAAAAAAGCATTAAAATGATACAGAGTTTCATTAAACAAGATGTTAGCAACTCAGCAACGGCTGTTATATTGCATATTGTTATCTTCAAATTCATTGTTCTGATTACCAAGTATAAGCATGCAAAATTGATCAAGAGAAAAAAAAATTACGCATTAACTGTTCCTTTCAATAAACCAATAGACATCACAATGCACTTATCTCAGCTGTCCTTGTTTGTGCATATATATTTTTTTCTTTTAATTTTTTTATTTTAAAGATAAAAGAACCAAAACATATTAACAAACACACAGACATAAATACAATAAAAACATTACAGAATTTCAGACAAAGTGATAGGAAATTAACAATGGTTGTTGTATTACACATTGTTATCTTCAAATTGGTTACTTAGATAAATAAATATAAACATGTAAGAATGATCAAACAATTAAATATCAACAGTTCCTTTCAAGAAAGCAATAGAAATTAATAATACAATTAGCTATCTTGTATATATATATATCTTGTATATATATATATCTTGTATATATATATATATAGCCCCTTCTTTCTTTTTTTCTCTTTTCCCTCATTCCAGTCGTTCTTTCCTTTTGAGCAGTTTCTTTCCCTTTAACGATATCTATTGTACCTTTTAGATTTGATTTTATTTACTCTTTCAGGTTCTTATACTAGGGAGGCAATTCGATGTTTACACATGTGAGTCTTATTTATTTCACTTATGAGTATGGTCTCTAGTGGTGTCCATTTATCTACAAAAGCCTCGAGTTTATCTTTCTTTATAGCTGAGCAATATTCCATTATCTTCTAGGATTTTTGACAAGAATGGAAGTTAGGAGATGAGGGTGGTGAGGAGGTTAGTGTCCTGAGATGACCCCTATCCATGTTGCTCTTTTGATTTTCTGTCAGTGTGTTTTCCAGTAGCTAAGATGTGTAAAGACAATGCTACAGTCACTTAAAGTGCATCATGTGAAAAGTACTTTATGTGCTGCATATATGTGTGTTTATGTATACACACAGATATATTTGTATAACATTTTATATGATGTATACTGTTCTCATCCACATTTTACCCTTGAGAAAAACTGAGGCAGAGGGAAATTAAACAATTTGGCTAACCTACTGCAGTAAGAGGTAGAGCTAGAATTTGAAACTAGGTAAGCTGGATTCCACGTGGCCTCTTTTTAACAACTTTTCTTCAGCACCTCCCATCTCAGGGGTTGTCCTGATTTGGGACTGGTCTTTCTTAACGGTTCACTAAGTCATTCAGGACAAATCCGAACTCCTCGGCTTAACTCTCCAGAGCCTCCTCATCCCAGATGGGCTTGCTTTCAGCCTCATCTCCTGACCCTTCCTCACGTTTGTCCTGTCAGACCTGGCATTCCTCAGAAAGACTGGCATGGTTGTCTGTGTTTACTTATCTTCATGTGCACTCTTCTGGAAAGCTTTCCTGCCCTGTTTAATTTTCTCTAACCCATCTTGCACATCAGCTTGCACCCTCTTTATTATTAAGTTAACTCTAACTCAGTTTTCATTCCTCTCAATGGTGACAGCCTCTAGAGAGGTTACCCTAATTCCTGGGCATGCATATCCTGTATCACTGAGAAGTGTTGCTTTGCACATGGACTCCTTTGTTTCCAGATCAAATGAAACAATGCTAAGTTGAACGAACAAGTTCACTCCCTGAGTGACTGCACCCACACTGCGAGTTCAACTTGAGACAAAATGAGTATAGGGTGTATGCCAGGGTGATCTTCCCAGTTGGAACCATAGTCTGTTTCCAATAGTGTCTTTCTATTATCTATCATCTATCTATCTATCTATCTATCTATCTATCTATCTATCTATCATCTATCATCTATCTATCATCTATCTATCAATCATCTAGCATATATTTGTCTATTTCTCTATCTCTCCATCACTTATAGCAATACATTTTTATGAGTGAAAGAAAACACCAAACTCTTCATAATAGGAAGAAAAAAGATTCTTTTGATTATTGTGGAAGATTTCAAATGATAAAGAAGGCTATCTGGTGGTTTTGAAACCATTAGAACTAGTATATCAGCAGTTATTAAGAAAATACATTTTAGGATTAGGCTTAGGGTTAAATACTCATTCTGCCAATTACTCTCTAAGATGTGGGCCAGCTACTTTTTTTGTGTCTTAGTTTACTCATCCTGAATTTGAGATGATAGTGAAAGCCTACTTCATAAAATTGTTATAGTAATTAAATGTGTTATTGTATGTAAAACACTTAAAACAATACTTGGCACATAGTAAGTACAATTTAAGTGTTTTTTAATACCTAAGCATCTTTTTTTAAATCCTTAACATTTTGCCAGTTAGTGATGACATAGCACAGTTTGGCTTTAAGAATATAGTGCATAGAATATTCAAAAAATTTAGAGATAAGCATATTCTCTAGCTGAAGAACTTCAAAGCATAAGTGAACCCACATGGTTTTTAAATTCAGTTATTTTTCTGAAGGGTTTAGTTATCTATTCATCTATCATATTTGTCTAATTTATTAAGGGGGTTTGTATTATGTGTATGCTAGAATCATAATACCACAATTCAATATGAGAATTTCCTTGACTGTTGTGCAGAGCAATTTACCAAATTTCTTCAACTTTTGGTACTGTGCTTTGTAACTTGGATATAATAAAAATTATGAAATTGTTGTGAGACTAGCATTTAACAAATACAGAGTTAAGCACATAATCCTACATACAGTAAAGTGCTCAATTATTCACTAGTAATCTTTCTCTGGAGAAAGAAAGATACTAGGGGCTGGGGATTTAGCTCAGCGGCACAGCGCCTGCCTGGAAAGTGCAACCTCATGAATTCGATTCCCGGTACTGGAAGAAAAAAAACAAAAACAAAAAAAAGAAAGAAAGATACTATATATTATTATTTCAGGAATAAAGTTATAGAAAAAATTTTAATATTTTCTAGTAGTTTTGTTATATAACATTTATGTAATATTTGCATAGATCAAATTACAAGTTGAATTTAGAGAGATTCCATTTTATAGATTCAAATTAAGAAGCAAAGCACTTCATAAATACAATGAAAAGTTAGATTGTTTCATTTTAATTATGGAACAATAATTTCACCCTTCATGTTTTATGAAGTAAAAAGATTCCAAGAAGATAAATTGATTTATCCTAAATTATGCAGTTGATCAAAATCCCCAAACTTACACCATTCAGTTCTATGGCATCACTCTTCCCATTTTCCTCAAAGGAAAGAAATATTCTTAGGAAAGATGGAGAATAGCTAGCAATTTGCAACATTTTATAAGCAGCCATTTTAATTTTGAGGAATATGTTTAAATCTTATCTCATTATTCATTTCTTTCAAGAATTCTTTTCTGATTTTTCTTGTCTCATACTTGTTTTCTTTGTATGCCTTAAGCACAACTATATACAGTTTATAAGGTAATATTAAATGTTTATATGTATTTAAACTATCACTTATAGCATAATATGTATGGGAGTTTTTCTTCTAATTCTTATCTAGGATTACAAGAATAAAAATTTATCAAAGTCTTTTTCAAGGTAAATTAATAAAAACCTCAATAATTTTTAAATTTTCCCCCTTGTTAGAGTAATATAGAAAAAAGTATTTCTGTTCATTGTTTAACCCCATGTGTCCCTTACTGGCCTGGAATTTCACATATGGGGATTTTCACATACAAGTCAAAGTTTAGGACTCAAACTTCCCCACTATGATTTATAGCATGAGTTGTGTTGTCTATTTTGTTCTCAGATACTAAAAGGGATTTACTCTTTAATTACACTGAGACTTTTCATCTAAGTTAGAAACTGGAAACTGAGCCTGACTTGATTAAATAAAATGCTACTTTTCTAAGAGAGATGTGTACAGATATACATATATTTTAAAAATTCACCTGCAATTTTAGATATCAAATCTCAGATTCTAACTTCTTGTTATTATCTACAGCTTCAACAATTAATTTGTCCACTCAACAAATTAAGCCTTATGATTTTAAAGAGAATTTCTGAAGAAGGGAAGGAGAGTAAGAAAAGGAGGATGAGGAGGATCGGGGGAAAGGAGCTGCAGGACTAAGTGGAAGGAACGGTGAAATGTGAAGAATGTAAGAAATTTGATGAAAAAGATCCATAAACCACATTTAAGAAATGGGAAAAGTTTTTCTACTTGCTTGTATCACTTAGATAATTCACATCACGTAGGCATTTCATATGATCATTCCTGTTTTGTTTGCCCACTCTTACCGTGGCTACGTGTTTATTTTTGCAGAGACCCAGCCTGACTTCGCTAGTCCTACCAGGGTCCCATGGAAGTGGCAAACAATGTCACTGAGTTCACATTCCTGGGACTTTCCCAAGATCCTAGAATGCAGCTGATATTCTTTGCCCTGTTCTTCCTCTTCTACGTAGTGATTATGGTGGGAAATTTACTCATTTTGCTTACAGTCTTCGCTGATGCCCGACTCCATACCCCCATGTACTTTTTCCTCTGGAACCTGTCCTTTGTGGACCTTGCCTACTCCTCCGCCACGGCACCCAAGATGATTGCAGATTCTCTTTCCGAGAAAAAGACCATTTCCTACTGGGGCTGTATAACGCAGATGTTCACCTTTCACTTTTTTGGTTGTGCGGAGATTTTTGTTTTGACCGTCATGGCTTTTGACCGCTACACTGCCATCTGCCAGCCTCTCCGGTACACCACCATCATGAGTGCTAAAGCTTGCACCTCGCTGGCGTCCCTGTCTTGGCTGGGGGCCCTCGCTCATTCCTTTGTCCAGACCCTCCTGACCTTTCAGCTGCCCTTCTGCAGCGCGCAGGCCATAGACCACTACTTCTGTGACGTCCACCCAGTGTTAAAACTTGCCTGCGCCGACACAACCCTCGTAAATGGGCTGGTGGTTGCCAGCAGTGGCCTTGTCTCCCTGGGCTGTTTCCTCATTCTTTTGGCCTCTTACAGTGTCATCCTGTCTCATCTTCGCAAGCGGTCAGCAGAGAGCCGGCGCAAAGCTCTCTCGACCTGTGGCTCTCACCTTACTGTCGTCACTTTCTTCTTCTTCCCTTGTATCTTCATTTATCTTCGCCCATCCACCACTTTCTCACTGGACAAAGCTGTGTTTGTGTTTTACACCACTATCAGCCCAATGCTAAACCCGCTCATCTACACTCTGAGGAATGAGGATGTGAAAAGCGCCATGAAGCGATTGTGGATTCGGTTTGTCTCCTTGAAGCAAAACAGGAGGGGTAGCTTGTAAAATTAGGGAGTTATTTATCAGTAATTGTAAGGACTAGGTTCCAGAACTCAACTATCTTGTACTTCTCAGTTAGCAGAGGATTATTTGAGGCTATTGTGTGGTGAATTATACTTAAACTTTTTTATAACGACAAGGCTTATTCTCTTATTACTGGATTGCAAGAATAAACTCTTAATGCCACATTTAACTGCTTTAGATCCCTTCTAGTTACATTAGGTTCTTTTAAGCTATGCTTCAGCGATTTAGGATGTTGATGAAAGTGAAAGATATTCCCAAGGAATCAGATAATTTTTCTCAGAAAACAAGTTTTACCTCCCAGAAGCTGCATTTCTCTCCCCTTCCTTCCTTTTTTTTCTTTCCTCTGTTAGTCTTTTAATATCACAATGTCCCAAAATCTAGCAGAGGATTTCTCTTAGATAATTATAATATAATACAACAAATGTAGGTATAGAAATATACATTACACACAATGAAGGATGTTGTTACAGACTGACCAAATGTCCAAAAAATTTTTTAAAAAAAGGGGGAGTAGTGGAGAGCATTTTATATCTTTTAAGACAGAGTTCAATTGTTTAGAAAATCCTCTTGCAGAATTTGAATGCTGTCCTACTTTGGCACTATGATACTATTTTTTAGTAAGATAGTTTTATGGTTTTTTTTTTTTTCCAATACATAACCTAGATAAAGGAAATAAAATGAATTTACATTTGAATTATTGAAATGACTAAGTCCAACAGATGTAGTTCTATTGCAAATTTTTAATTAAAACTATTATGAATTTTCAAAAAGGACAAAATGAAACAAGCAAATTTTCTTTTGGGGGGGTTTTAGTAAAGCCAGAGAACACTCAGTTATTCTCAGTATTTTGTCATGTATATTTTTATTCTTAGGAATTGCTTTTAGTTTTTTTCATGACTCACATTTCTCAAGAATTCTGTGATGTTTATTTTCAACCAACGTTCATCTTTTATAGATCTAGAAGCATCCTTAGGTATAATTATAAAGTGTTATCAGACACACTTATTCTTGTTTTTGTTTTTAAGTGATTTTTAATTCATTTTCACAAAAAGAAGGGTCTGAATGCTGTACATTTCTTGTTTTCAGCTCTGTATTATGCAGAAATGGTTTCATAGTAGGGACTCATCAGTTTGCCAATTGTCACCACAGTCTGTATTGTCCCTTCTCTTTCCTTAGCAGCAAAGGCCTCATACTGTTTATGGCAAGCAAGAATGTTGCATTGTCCTGTCCTTCTCTGTACCTGGGTGTAAGGAATAGTCTGTGCCTGGGTGTAAGCAGTAACTGGTGTGTGGGACTTTGGAGAACTCTTTAAAATGGGTTTTTTATGTGCTAGCCCTTCCATATGAAATCACCATTGACCTTCTGTTGCATTCTTCATATTTTTTACTTGCTCAATGATTATTCTATCCATTATATAATATCTGATTTTAAAAAAATAAAAAAACATTTAAATTACATCAAAGACACCCATAGTGTGTCTCTGGGTGCTAGGCTGAACCCTGGACACCTTCAGGAACCCCATTGAGTTGTCGTTGCGCCTCCCTGACCAGGGCACAAGGAAAGCAGAACCCTGGGCACCCTCTGGGGCCTCAGTGGCTAATCACCACACCCACAATGTGTCTGTGGGTACAGGGCTGACCCCTGAACATCTTCAGGAAGGTTGGTGAGCCACTGCTGCATCTCCCTGACCAGTGTGTAAGGCAGGCAGAATCCCGGGCACACTCTGAGGCCTCAGTGGCTACTTGCCACACTCATACTGTGTCTGTGGGGGCTGGGCTGAACCCTGGATATCTTTAGGAACACCAGTGAGCCACTCTGTTGCCTCCTCCACTAGTGTGTGAGGCACGTGGAGCCCTGGAAAACTTCTCAGGCCTTGGTGGTCATTCCCAAAACAACCTGCACCCCACTGGGAGCCCAGCTGAAAACTGGACAGAGTCAGTGGCCTCACGAAGTCCACCTCATCTGTCCCTTGCCAGTGTGGGAAGTAGGCTTTGTCCTGGGCAATATCTGAAGCCTCAGTAACTGTGACCTGCATTCCCCCTACTCTTGCGGAAGCTAGGCAGAACCCTAAACAGCTTCAGGAACTTCAGTGAGCCTCCCACACCATTCCCACACGTGCTTAGGAGCCAAATGAATGCAAGAAAATTCGGGAGCATCTGGAGCACCACCTAGCCACCACTCACCAGCACAGGAGCTGAATTGAGCACTGGGGAATCTTCAGACTGCCCTACCACTCATACACAATTGGGAGAGTGAGGTTAAACTCTAGGGAACCTCAGTATCTTCAAAAATGACAAAATGAAGGGAGCAAAATGCAATGCCAGACCCCCACACCACCCAAAACAAGTCCAGGACACATCAACACAGAAGAGGCTGGAAGTCATACACCTGAAATTTCTGAAATGATAGCAACTGAAATAAAGAAACAATTCCATCAGGCCTTAGGAGACATCAGATCAGAAATAATGTCTCAGGTAAGAAAAGCAATGACAATAATGAAGGAAGTGTCCAGCATATCCAAAGATGACATTGATAAGAAAATAGAAGAGCATAGACAACTCATAGAAACCTTGAGTGAACAATATAGAACTAGAATGTATGAAAGGGATTCAAACAGATATCCAGGAAATTAAAAATTCCATTGAAAGCTGGCAAAATGGCCTGAATGAAGCTGAAGGTAGAACTTCAGACCTTGAAGACAGCATTGCCATGAACGTGAAAGGAGGGATCTCTTAAAAACAACAAGGACACTGGAAAAACGATAGCCTCTTTAATAAATGGTGCTGGAAAAATTGGCTTAATACCTGCCAAAGACTGAAAATAGATCCAAGTCTATCACCATGAGCCAAACTCAAGTCAAAATGGTTCACAGATCTCAATATTAAACCAGAAACACTAAATCTTTTGCAAGAGAAAGTAGGTAAAAACCTTGAAGACATAAGGGTAGGCAGAGAGTTCATGAACAAAAACCAAATTGCACGTGAAACACTTGAAAGAATCAACAACTGGGATCTCAGCCTACTGAAAAGTTTCTGCACATCTTAAGAAATCACCAGCAGAGTGAAAAGAAAACCCACACTTGGAAAAAATTTTAGCTGATTGTCCCTCAGACAAAAGGCTTCTATCTAGAACATAGAAAGAATTCAAAAATATCAGCCCCCCCCAAATTCAAAGACCCAATCCAAACATGGGCAGCTGAGGTGAATACACACTTCTCAGACAAGGAGATACAAATGGCAAATAAATATATGAGAAAATGTTCAACATCATTAGTCATTGGAGAAGTGCAAATTAAAACAACACTGAAACTGCACCTTACCCCAGTAAGAATGGCTAGCATTAAGAAATCAACCAATAACAAATGCTGGCAAGGCTGTGGAGAAATAGGAGTCCTTCTCCACTGCTGGTGGGAATGCAGACTGGTGAAACCACTGTGGAAATCAGT